GAGATCCAACCAGTCCATCCTGAAGGAAATCAGTCCTGGGTGTTCACTGGAAGGACTGATGCTGAAGCTGAAACTCCAATACTTTGACCACCTCATGTGACGAGTTGCCTCATTGGAAAAAATCCTAATGATTGGAGGGATTGGGGGCAGGAGGAGAAGGGGACGACAGAGGATGAGATGGCTGGATGGCATCACCGACTCGATGGACATGAGTTTGAGTATACTCCGGGAGTTGGTGATGGACAGGGAGGCCTGGCATGCTGCAATTTCCGTGGGGTCGTAAAGAGTCGGACACGACTGAGCGACTGAACTGAACTGAACTGCGTCTGTGTGGCAATACACAGAGGAAGGCCACCTCCTGAGATTAAACAGGCCTGCCTCCAGGAGGAGTTTGCTCTGCAGACCACAGAGTCAGGGTGCAATGAAACCCAAATTGGGAGCATTGGAGGGTGTGGATTGATGAGAGAGGTGAATTCTTGAAGGAGTGCTGAGTTTGGAACTGAAGCCAGTGCCTCTAAGTCCAATGCAAAAACTTCAGTTTAATCTGTGTTAAAAGGCTGTATTCATTGTTGGCACAAATTCATGCAGCATTGAAGGAAGTTTTCCCTCTGGAGTTTTCTTACTGATAGAGGATGATTTCGGTGAATTTCTCTCTAGATTCCTAGACCATGCAGTGAGAAAGCTGGTGTGTCATGTAATGGATGTATCATAAAATGAGAAAGCTCCATCCCAGAAACTTAAGAGCAGTGTGTATTTGGTTCATTTTTCTGGACCTTGGATCATCCACTTCTGTTTCAGCACTTAAGCCAACATCAGTTTCATGTTCGGAAAAATTTTAACATCTTTGGGGTCAGTCTTTTCTCTCCAGGGGCTTTGCCTAAAGTATGGTAGTCATGGGGGATTATGTTCCACTAAGAAACCCCCCAACTGACGAATCCCCTGGTAGTCCAGTGGTTAGGACTCAGGGCTTCCACTGCAGTGGGTGTGCGTTTAATCCCTGAGCAGGGAACTGAGATCCTCCATGCTCTGTGGTGTGGCCAAACAAACAAACCCAAGTAACAGTGACTTAAACGTGGCTTAAACAGGAAAAAAGCTTCTCTCTTACACCAGAGAAGTCTGGGAGAGGCAGTCTAGGGCTAGTGTGATGGCTCCACTATTATCACACATCCAGGTTCTTTCTATCTTTCTGCTCCACCATCCTAGCACTGGCTTTCCTGCCCAAGGGTACTTCACAGTCTAAGGCAACTGCTTGATCTCCAACTATTGTGCATTCCAGCTAGAAGTGGAGATGCTAAAAATGCAAACCTCTCAGCTGTTCTCTTTTAGAAACCTCTTAGAAGTGAGATAGATGGATGGATAGATATATTAAGAACTGTCAGTCTTTGCTACAATCTCTATGAGAAACATTTGCTATTTGGAATCATCTAGGAAGTTCCCCCAATCTCATCTGTTGTTGTAATAAGTGCAGAGATTTATATATTATCATGTGCCAGGTGATGTTTGCTTTACACATACTAATTCATTCCATCCTTAGAAGAGCCTCATTAGCTTCGTATTGCTAGTATCACAGTATTTTAGATGAAGAAATTGAGGCACAAAAAATTTAGTGTCTTATCTAAGTTCATACAGCTAATGGCTAGAGCGGTGGAATCTGGACCTCCGGAGTGTGACTGTACAGCTGGGTTTGTCAGCCTCAGCACTGCTGATGTTTGGGGCCAGGTAACCCTTTGTTGGGGACCCTTCTGTGCTCTCTAGGATGTTAAGCAACTTGCATCCATGACCTCTAACCACTAGGTGTCAGTAGCTTCACACCCATCCGGAGCTTGTGGCAACTAAAACCATCTCCAGACATTGCCACATATTCCCTGAGCACAGTTGCCCCCCCATTGAGAACCACAGCTCTACTCTAAAGTCTCTGCTGTTTGCCATGAATCTGTGCTGCCTCTGAAACCCACTTCCCATGTAGGGGAATCAACAGCCCTATTGATTTTTCAAAACTGTATTTATTTGGGGCTTTGCTGGGTCTTCGTTGCTGCACACAGGTTTTCTCTTTTTTTTTTTTTTCATTTATTTTTATTAGTTGGAGGCTAATTACTTCACAGTATTGTAGTGGTTTTTGTCATACATTGACATGAATCAGCCATGGGTTTACATGTGTTCCCCATCCCATCCCTCTGGGTCATCCCAGTGCACCAGCCCTGAGCACTTGTCTCATGCATCCAACCTGGGCTGGTGNCCATGACATGGTGGTGGTTGGAAGAAAAACAAGAGACGGTAGCCCGATGAGACTAATGTGCTTTGAATGAGGCTCAGTGTTGGGTTAGTGGGCATAGGGTCAGTGTTGCCTTTACTAAGGGTTTAGATGTGTCCGATACTATTCTAAGCACTTTAGTCTAAACATGTATGATAGTAACTCCTTTAAAGTAACAACTGTGATGATATCCACTGTTATCCTCCATTTTACAGCTGAAGAAATGAAACAGAGAGAGAGTAAACCACTTGTCCAGGCTTTGAATCTAGGCCATCTTAACCATTTAAATATTATCCTCCTCTCAAACTTTATCAAACCCAGAGGTGAATGCTTAAGATGAGACTGAAACAAGAACTGAGATGATACAGAGTAAAAATAATAGGTAAACAGTACAGCCTCTTGGGGAGAGGGGTGGGATGCTTGGGCAAAAGACCCCAAAACTGTTAAATTCTGATGTTTATTTTTCTGCATATTGTTTTTAAAATGTTTGAAAAGCACCTCACTGCATCATAGACAGTGGACACCTTTTATTTATTTATTTTTTTTAAGAAGTTGAATATTTTATTATTAAATTGTTTATTCTCCTGCAAGGCTGTTGCTTCACTGTATAAAAATAGCACCAGCAAACACAGTATATTGCAAAGTTAAGACAGTAATATTCTTCACTGGACACTATACAACTAACAAACTTTTCTCCACTGCCAGTTATTTCTAGTGGGAAGATCATTTTGACCCAAATCCAAGGATAGCTGTAAGCAAGTTACAATGTCATATAAGGTATAAGATAACCATGTTATCCTTGAATTACATAATTTTTGTAATTAGTTTTATCAGAGATAATTTCAGGAATTCTGAATAGTATAACTGGAGCCTAGCCTAAAAATCACAGGATGCTGTGGAAAAGATACAGTGTTTATCTGAAGGCATTAGAAAGTTAAGGGGTATTTTCTTCAGGAAACATTGTTACAAGTAGTTTCTTTTGCTAAAAGTTGCTTTTTAAATATCTATCCACCACTAATTTAAGACAACTATGCTAGATTAAGTTGTTTCAAAGTAGTTTATTTAGGGGTTCCATTTTCATTCCTCAATAGATTTTATGTATTTTTCATATGCTTCTTCACTCATTAGTTCATCTAGTTCTGAAGGGTTACTGAATGTCATCTTGATCAGCCAACCATCTTCATAACAAGACTTGTTGACAAGTCCTGGATTTTCTGCTAGAGCTTGATTAATTTCAGTTACTTCTCCTGAGAGAGGGGAATAGAGTTCACTAGCGGCTTTCACACTTTCCAAAGCACCAAACTCCTCTTGTTTGTTCAACTTTGTCCCAACTTCAGGCAGACTGCAGTACACAACATCTCCCAACGCTTCCTGTGCAAAATTGCTGATTCCCACTGCTCCCACACCGTCTTCTGTTGTTACCCATTCGTGTTTTTCTGTGAATTTCCTCACCGACAGCAGCGCAGGGCCGGTGGGCAGCGCCCGGACGGTACCCGCCCGCGGTCCCCAGGGCCGCGGTGAGCAGGGCGCGCGGGCTGCAGGCCGCTTCCTTACGCTCCGCACCGCTTGCAGCGCCGTGTTCGCACGGGTGCAAGGGGTTTCCGCGCCGCACCTAGAGCACCCCGGCCGGCGGCCCCGGCCCGGAGCGAGGGAAACATTTAAAATCAGGCAGATATCCTGCTTATCAACATTTCCTCCTAGATTTCGCATCTTTACAGCGATGGCTGTAAGTCCCCAGCTTCTCCTTTGGTGTCTCTTTTTTCCAGGACACGCCCTCCCGGAAGGTCAGGTCCCTCCCTTTGCCTCCGTCCTGGGCTGGAGAAGAAGCCTGTTGTTTCAGGAGCCAGTGACCTTTGAGGACGTGGCTGTGTACTTCACCCAGAACCAATGGGCCAGCCTGGACTCTGCGCAGAGGGCCCTGTACAGGGAGGTGATGCTGGAGAATTATGCAAACGTGGCTTCCCTGGGTAAGGTCTCTCAGTGGTGCTCTGATAGTTGACGTCCTCCTCAATTGTCTTGGAGGTTCTAGTAGTCCTTAGGGTTCTGTGGAGATGCTGGGTGGGGAAATCCCAGATTCCTTCTGGCTTTGAAGGAAAGGACTCTTGGGGTGCCCCCAGGAGGCCTCAGTGCCTCCGTCCTTNCGTCCCTGGGATTTTCCAAGCAAGAGTACTGGAGTGGGTTGCCATTGCCTTCTCCAACACTGCCAAGGGTGTGGGCTCAATCCTTGATTGGGGAACTAAGATCCCAGAGGTTGAGCAGTGTGGCCAAAAAAAGAAAAGACTTCCTTCTTTCCCCTTGGGAATTCTCCTGGGAGGGGCTTTGCCCTGGGGTCAGAGCACTGAGAAGGTTCCATATTCATTCCTTCACTCTTTCAGTTCCCTGGAGGAGACTGTGGCCCCATCTTCTCTGTGTGAGAGTCTCCTAAGGCCTTCTGTACACTCTTCCAGTGACAGTGTAGACTTCCTGAGCCAGAATAATCTTCCTGGGCCAAACAGTTTGTGCCCTCATTTCATCCCCGAGTCTCTCCACCCTGGCCTCCCTTCGTCTCCTGGGACGTCACAGCTTTTTCCACCTGGCAAAGTGGGGGGTAGACTGAGAGGGGTCCGAGGAGACTCTCCTCAACTTTCTGTTCCTCTTCTGTGTCCTTCAGCAGCATTTCCACTCCCCAAACCAGATCTGATCTTCTGGCTGGAGCGAGGGGAAGAACCAGGGTGCCTGGATCCCTGGACACTGGTCGGGGGAGAGGACCTGAGAGGCATCTGCAGAGGTAAGCAGGAGAACCTGCCATTCTCTCCTCCATAGAGCTTCAGCCCCAAACTGGAAAAGACTAGTCCAGACCTTTTATTTTCCATCATTCTTCCTTGTAAAGCTAAAGGATTTCAAACCTTTAGTAGTGGAGGTAGACTTCTGTTGATTAACATAAGAATATACACAAAACAGACAACTTGTTTCTGTAAGGACATTTGTATGTGTTTGTGTGTGTGTGAGAGAGAGAAACTGTAGCAGGAGAATGGACTTTTTATAAATTCCTAAACACTAAATTAGAAAGTAGCTTTTGAAAGAAATCCTGTTTATTTTGGGGAGTGTTTTTCTACTTTTGTTTAAAAAATGCCGTTGGCATCTTGATAGAGGTTGCATTGACTCTATAGATGACTTTCGGCAGTATTGACCTTTTTTTTAAGATTGATTTATTTATGGCTGTGCTGGGTCTTCCTTGATGTTTTCAGGTTTTCTCTGTTATGACGGGCAGAGGCTACTCTTCCTTGTGGTGCAAGGCTTTTTGTTGCAGTGTCTTCTTGCGGAACAGGGGGTCTAGAGCACAGGCTCAGTAGTTGTGGCCTACAGGCTTAGTTGCTCCAAGGCATGTGGGATCTTCCTGGAACAGGGATTGAACCCGTGTTCCTGGCATTGGCAAGTGGATTCTTAACCACTGGACTACCAGGGAAGTTCAATATTGACATTTTAACAGTATTAATTCTCCCAGTTCACAAACATGGAATATTTTTCCATTTATTTGTGTCTTCTTTGGTTGTTTTCATCCATGTCTTGTAGTTTTCAGAGTAGAGATCTTTCAACCCCTCGGTAAAATTTATTTCTAAGTATTTTAGTGTTTTTGATGCTGTTATAAATGGTGTTATAAATGGGATCAATTTCTTTATTTCTCAGAAAACTCATTGTTAGTATTCAGATTTTTGTATGTTAATTGTATACCCTGCAGCTTTACTGAATTCACTGTTTCGATTTAACAGTTCTTTTTGTTGAGTCTTAAGAATGTTCTGTATTTTAAATCTTATTATCTGCAAATAGAACAAATTGTATTTCTTCTTTCCTAATTCTGGTACCTTTTCTTTCTTTTTTTTTTGCCTGTTTGCTTTAGCTAGGATTTTCAGCATTGTGTTAAATTGGAGTGGTGAGAGTAGACACTCTTGTACCTAATCTTAGAGGAGAAACTTTCAGCCTTTCACTCTTGAGTATGATGTTAGCTGTGGGCATTTCATTTATGGCCTTTTTTATGTTGAGATATGTTCCTTCCCTGTGGCAGTGGTTTAGTTGCTAAGTCATGTCCAACTCTTATGACCCCATGGATGATAGCCTGCCTGGCTCCTCTGTCCATGGGATTCTCCAGGGAAGAATACTGGAGTGGGTTGCCATTTCCTTCTCCAGGGGATCTTCTCAACCTCGAATCAAACTAGGAACTCCTGCATTGCAGGCAGATTCTTTACCAACTGAGCTACAAGGGAAGCCCATGTTCCTTCTCTACTTAATTTGTTAAATTTTTATGGTGAATGAATGTTGAGTTTTGTGAAATTCTTTTCTTTACCTATTGAAAGTGAAAGTCGCTCAGTTGTGTCCAATTCTTTGCAACCCCATGGACTGTACGGTCCATGAAATTCTCTAGGCCAGAATACTGGAGTGGGTAGCCTTTTCCTTCTCCAGGGGATCTTCCCAACCCAGGGATGGAACCCAGGTCTCCTGCATTGCAGGCGGATTCTTTACCAGCTGAAATTTTTGGAGTGGGAAGCGCACAGGGCAAGAATACTGGCGTGGGTAGCCTATCTCTTCTCCAGCAGATCTTCCCGACCTAGGAATCAAACTGGGGTCTCCTGCATTGCAGGCACATTCTTTACCAACTGACCTTTCAGGGAAGCCTTTACCTATTGAGATGATCATATGATTCTTTTCTTTCATTCTATTCATATGAAGTTTCATATCAATTGACTTGTGGAAAGCACGTTTATTTATTGGGAATGAGTGGTTTCCTTTTTTGCCTTTTGCCTGAGGGATCTTAGTTCCTCGACCAGGGAATAGAAAAACCTTTGCCCTGCTGCAGTGGAAGCACGGAGTCCTAACCACTGGGCTGCCAGGGACTTCCCCTTTCTTGAAAGACAATGAATTGAAGTTAAATGTGAAGAACCATCCACAGATTTGGTGGATAGTCTTTCTCATTCAGTCGCCCTGTTCTTATACCCCCTCAATCCCTAATGCTATTCAGAACCTCTGTAAACCAAACGCCTCTATCTTACTCACCCCGACTCTGTCTGCATCCAGCCCCTTTAGACTGACTCCAGCACTTGAGCCCACCTTGATGGAAAAAGCTTTCCCAGGGGCCCACCTGCACTTGTCAGTGAATCCCTTTGCCATAGCTGCACATTGTCCGTTTAGCCTGTCAATAGCTTTGGCCAGTAGGACTTCTCTACAGTGATGAAAATGTTATGTATCTCCACTGTCCAATATGGGAGGCATTAGCCACATGTGCACTTGAAATGTTGGTGATACAACTGAGGAACTGAATTTTTAACTTTGTTCCATTTTAATTAAATAGCCACATGTGGTTAATGGCCACCTAATCAGGCAATGCAACCTAAACCAATTTTAAACACAGCCTCCAGCTGCTTCTTTTAATTTCTAGATCAGTGGCTGTCAAACCCTAGTGTGCAGTGCTTGTTAAATCACTTGTGGTGCTGGACGCCACCTCCAGAAATTCTAATTTGGTAGACTGGGGTGGGGCCTGAGAATCTGCATTTCTAACAAGTTTCCAGACCATGATGATCCTGGGACCACACTTTGAAGACCTCTGTTCCTGAGAATCTTGAACTGTGGCTTCAAAATTCTGGGTTGCAACTCATTAGTGAGTTGTGCTCACCATTTAAAAATTAGACTAGTTTGGGCTTGACTTAAATAAAATAGACCAAACTAGTATAAAATCCATCATATATTCATCATTCTTATTAAGGGTAGTGTTCTTTAAAACTCTTGTTTCCATGGGATCTAAATGGTGAGTCCTGGTCAAAAAAACTTGAGAAACACTAAGCTAAAAGTTTCACTTGTCAAATCTTTGGTGTCTGGAAAGGCAAATATGGCTTCTCTGTTGTAGTACCACCAGTAAGAGTGTGGGTCCCCTTTCTCCACCAGTGGCCATCTCCAGTCTTAGAAGGGTCTGAACCAGCCATGTCTTTTTTCCTTCCACAGCTAAGTCTCTCTCCCACTGGACAGCACACGAGTTTTGCAATTACGGTCCTTTTATGAACCCCTCACAACCCGCAGTGTTACAAACTGTCCTTTCCCCAGTCAGGCTTGCAATATAAAACATCTCTTTAAACATTACAGAATATTCTAAAGCATTCAGACAGTTTCTTGCCTTGATGGGGACCTTGAGATCTGCTGTTAGAGACAGCATCTTCCAGCCCTCTGGATGCTGTGTGGTGTGAGAGCTGCTTACTCAGCTCTTTTTGCTCCAGTTTAAAGATCTTCTTCAACCTCAGCTCCATCTGCTTTCTTTTTTTTTTTAAAATTTTTGCCACACCTTGGATTTGTGGGATCTTAGTTCTCAACCAGGGATTGAACCCAGGGCCACAGAAATGAAAATGCTAAGTCCTAACCATTGGATTGCCTGGGAATTCCCTCCCTCTGCTTTTCTTAATTGTTTCCCATTCAGCATTTTCTCCACCCTATTCTGTTTTTTCTTCTTTCATTTGTCTCCATTAATAGTTTTTGCTGTCTCTACTGATTTTGTTGTCCTAATGGCATTGCTTGCTTTCTCTACCTCCGGTATTTTTACTTTTCCTTCAGGGTATCATCAGGAGGCTATGTCTCTCTCCAAAAAGTACACATGTCCTGGTCATGGCATTAATAGTACTGCTTAATCCCTTTCTCCTTTCAGCATAACTAGGTGACTGTTATGTTTTCTTTTATTTCTTTTTTTTTTGGATACCTTTATCATTATATAATACCCATTTTTTTTTGTTGTTACAGTCTTTGTTTTAAACTGTATTGTGTCTGGTTTGAGTATTGCTACTCCAGCTTTCTTTCTATTTCCATTTCCATGGAATATCTTTTCCCATCCCTTCACTTTCAGTGTTTGTGTGTCTTTATTACTTATCTTAAACTTTTATTTCATATTAGAATACAGTTGATTAACAGTGTTGTGTTTCAGATGTACAGTAGAGTGATTCAGTGATATCATGTTATGTTTTCATCATGCTAGGTGGTAAAGTCAAGACTGAGAACAGAGGGCAGACTACAGAGCTGAGCATTTCGAAGGGACCAGAGTTTCACAAGTTGATAACGGAGGTGCCGCTGGTGGATGTTCCCAGGCACCCTCACTTTGAGAACAGCTTAGAGAAGCTGCAGCTGTATCACCCAGGGAAGAAAAAATACTCAAAGAACGGCAGTTTCACAGATTTGCCCATACAGGATCATCCATCCTCCACTGCTGAAAGAGAAGAGACAGCCAGACAATTGCAAGGAAGCTGTGGTGTCTGCATGCATCTTATTACTAAGCAGGGCCTCCCTAGAGAACAGGTATTTTATAATTGTGGTGAGTGCGGCAGATATTTCAACCAACATTTAGACCTTCACCAGCATCAGAGAATTCACATGGACGAAAAGCCCTACAAATGCAAAGAATGTGGCAAAGCCTTTAGATGTAACTCAAAACTGTCACGGCACCAGAAGATCCATACTGGGGAGAAACCGTACCCTTGCCAGGAATGTGGAAAAGCCTTCAGTCAAAACTCGCACCTCCTTCAGCATCAGAAACTCCACAGGGGAGAGAAGCCCTACAAATGTAAGGACTGTGGGAAAACTTTCGACTACAACTCGAAACTTATCCGGCATCAGCGAATCCACACTGGGGAGAAACCCTTTAAGTGTAAGGAATGTGGGAAGGCCTTCCGGTGTAACTATGACCGCGTCATCCATGAGCGAATTCACACTGGGGAGAAGCCGTATGGATGTAAGGAGTGTGGGAAAAGCTTCAGATCAAATTCAGTTCTGATTCAGCATCAGAGGATCCACACCGGGGAGAAACCTTACAAATGTAAAGAGTGCAGCAAGGCTTTCCGCCGGAGTTCGCTGTTTCTCCAGCACCAGAGGTTCCACACTGGGGAAAAGCTCTATAAATGTAACGAATGTTGGAAAACTTTCATTTGTAGCTCACGCTTTATAGTACATCAGAGAATCCACACTGGGGAGAAACCTTATGAATGCCAGGAGTGTGGGAAGGCGTTCAACCAGAAATTCACCCTGGTTCAGCACCAGCGAGTTCACACTGAGGAGAAACCTTATGAGTGTAAAGTGTGTGGGAAATCCTTCAAATGGAGCGCGAGTTTCATTCACCATCAGAAAGTGCACACCAGGAAGAAACCCGACCAAGTTACAAGGCCATCCCCGGTGAAGCCCTGCTGCCCCACTTCAGTCCTGTCCTCTCTGTCTCCCCAACATGCGTGACCTGCCCCAGCCACGCCAGGGGCTCCCCTGTCTTGTTCACGGGCACTGCTGCTTCCTGCTGCTGTGCCTCTCTTCTGTTGTTCCCCTCATCGGAAATGGCCAAGTCTTCACCTGTCCAAGTTGTGCATTTCTTTCAGAATCATGCTTCTCCTCGGAAGTCATCTACTCGGAGCTTGAACCCTTTACCTCATTCCCTGTGAGCTCCTGCATGTTTCCAGCTCCGTCTTCCCTAGTGTGGCAGACTCCTCTGGGCTTCCATCATGTCTTTGATGATACTCTTCTGGTCCCCTATAAGTAAGTCATTATTGTTCTCCCAGCTCCATTTAAGCTCGCGTACTTAAGGACCAAGTTTGATCACCCTCTTCTGTCCCCTGGCAGGGCTTCCCTGGTGGCTCAGACGGTAAAGAATCTGTCTGCAGTGCAGGAGACCTGAGTTCGACCCCTGGGTTGGGAACATTCCCTGGAGAAGGGAATGGCTACGCACTCGAGTATTCTTGCCTGGAGAATTACATGGACAGCAGAGTCTAGTGGCCTACAGTCCAGCAGTTCAGTTCAGTTCAGTTGTGCAGTTGTGTCCCAACTATTTGCGACCCTATGGACTGCAGCACACCAGGCTTCCCTGTCCATTACCAACTCCCAGAGCTTACTCAAACCCATGTCCATTGAGTCAGTGAGGCCATCTAACCATTCCATCCTCTTTCATCCCTTTCTCCTCCTGCCTTCAATCTTTCCCAGCATCAGGGAGTCAGTTCCAGTGAGTCAGTTCTTCACATCAGGTGACCAAAGTATTGAAGTTTCAGTTTCAGCATCAGCCTTTCCAATGAATATTCCGGGCTGATTTCCTTTAGGATGGACTGGTTGGATCTCCTTGCTGCCCAAGGGACTCTCAAGAGTCTTCTCCAACACTACAGTTCAAAAGCATCAGTTCTTATGTGCTCAGCTTTCTTTATGGTCCAACTTTCACATCCATACATGACTACTGAAAAAATCATAGCTTTGACTAAGACAGACCTTTGTTGGCAAAGTAATGTTTCTGCTTTTTAATACGCTGTCTAGGTTTGTCATAGCTTTTCTTCCAAGGAGCAAGTGTCTTTTAATTTCATGGCTGCAGTCACCATCTGCAGTGATTTTGGAGCCCAAAAAAATAAAGTCTGCCACTGTTTCCA